TTTCTCCTATTAACATTTTAAGATATAGCTGTTTTTTTTTAAAACAATTACAGCCCATATATTCCACCTTACAAATATCTAACCAACCTAAATTTCGAAGAGATTTAGTAAGAAAACATTCAAGGGGCTTGGCAAGAGCAAACAATCTTGAGTAACTTGTTCAATCTAGCTCGTCATACACATCATTCATAGATAGCTAGAGACAATGATGAACAAGTGCTTTTATCAACCCCCCCCCCCCCCCCCTTGAACAGTCCTGAGTGTTTATATTCAGGGAAATGCACACATATTTATTGGGGGGAGGGGGGAGGGAAGGGGGTAGCAGGGACAGAATAAAGAAAAGATGCAGTACTGGTATATATTTTCTTTTAATGTAGGCCTACTTGAACAAACAGAAACCAACAGATCAGTGGCTACCACATACGTAACGGGGCCCGTACAATTTTCCCTCTTAAAAGTTAAATCCGTATTGGGGCATATCTAATTGTTTTCCCCTTTGCTTTACTTTGAATTAAACAGATTCTTTTGGGGTAAAAATCTAAAAACATGAGAACCCTGTTACCAATTTCACTTGTACAATATATTTACAAGAGTATTTACATGATAACAAAATATAGAAGCATAATAATACAAGTAAACAATACTGGTATGCAATTGTAAATTATTCATGAGTGTAATATCGAGAAGCACAATCGAGTCTACCATCCTATTAGTGCTATTAGTATTAGTAGTATGATTTTAGGTGTACACATAAAGGTCAGTGTGATGTAAGCGAAGACCACAATAATAGCTCCATTTAATAATTTCTTTGCTTATTTCCGAGCTATTGCACTATATTGCGTTTGATACCAGGCATGTTAAAAGAGGAAAATGAGCTTTAAAAATCCTTAAATTGGCGACAAAACAAGAGATTAAAATTGTTTTTCAATAAAAATTGACATATTTTTGAACTTTTCAAATAAATTGTCTCCCATGTACATGTACCGGTATACTCTTTCCAGAGACATTAAATTTTATTTTAACGAGGGAGCAATAAAAGAAAAATATGTTTGTTGCCAATTTGAAGGTCAGTATGTGATCAGTTAAGGCCTAAGAATAAACCCTGTCCTGAGATGAAAAATATTGACCTTCTGGGTCCTAGCATACAAGGTCAAACGCACTGTGTAGATGGTCCTTTTTTTTTAGGCAATTCCATGCAATGTGTCTGCTATAAAATACGTCTCTATCCAATTTTTTGTTTGTTTTTTTGTTGTTTTTTTTTTTTTGGGGGGGGGGGGGGGGTTCTTTGGCATTTCTTGGGCTAATTTGCCCGGGCCCCCGTGTATTCCCCCCCCCCCCTGCTTTTGTATCTTATTTCATTCAAAAATGGATATCTCTTGATACGCCAGTAAATGATGGTTCAATCTGATATCACTTCGTAGTCAACACATAATATACATGTATAATACAATTATTCAAAACCGGTAAATGAAATGATTTTTATCAAGACACTCGATGTAGGCATTAAATGTAGTACATTACGAAAATTTCCACACAATTAATTTTTTTCAAGCGAGTTTTACTTGAATTGAAATGCAATTCCATGAAAAGAATTCAAGATAAACTTCAATATTATAAAATAACAGGCTTTCTGAACACTTAATCATGTCCAACATCGTTGCAAAATTGTGATTGATGATTGATCAAGCGTTGCTTGGTCGACGATTTTTAAAGACTCTCATTTTGTCTTGGAGTAGCTGCAAATGAATTTTGACAGGGAAATATTTTTTGAGCAACGCAGCGATATTTGAATGACACAAAACTTGTGAACTCGGTGCCCCCTCACGCAAGTCTGAAAGTCGATCGTCGTCGCTAAATATAATTTCACTCAAAATCCCTTAAGATGCGATGCCATTCAAATTTGAATACAATCAGACAGAACTCCTATTTTTTTTCTCTCTTTCCCTTTTCAACCGATCATGATAAAATGAAATGAAATTTATATCGCCATTGTGGAAGCAAATGAAGAAAGGAATAATTAACTCTTTTTTATAATAATTAATTCAATACGTTAATATGAACTTTATAAAAAAAGAGAGAGAAAATGGAGGGAGAGGTTCATACATGTACACTATAAAACATTTGTATTCTTTTTCATAGACACATACAAATTGTGTTCCCTCTCTAATAATTGTGTGCTGTGTGATATTATAAATGACCTCATATTTGCTATCATACAACTCACATGTTAGTAGGACACTTTGGCTTACACACAGGGTTCAATACCCCCCCCCCCCCTCAAAAAAAAAATACAATGGGGGAAGGTGCTTGACTAAAAATAGTCCCCCTAAATATACAGAAATATTCCTCAATCAGAAAGAATGAAAAACAGATTAATTTCTCACATATCAGGGCTACATGTATGCTATAAGTGTACACAAACTTAGTAGTAGTCCACACATTACATGAAGAGGTAGAATGCATACTGTGAAACCTGTCTATAAAGACCACACAAGATAGAGAAGGAAAGTGGTCTTTATGTACAGATTCCTTTAGTACATGTTTAAATGAGAAAAACATTTTTTTTTTTGGGGGGGGGGGTGTGGTCTTTGTAGACAGGTGGTCTTTCTATACAGGTGGTTGTTATAGCAGGTTTGACTCTATATATGTAGAATGAGAATCTCTGTATGTATTATTACTACATGTACACTTTCCCAAGGGGATCTTGAGACATGTCTGTGTAGGATGGCTACAAAGGGGGTGTTTCACAAAGATCGTAAGTCGAACCTAACTCTAAGTTGGACTTACAAATTATGGAGAGCCATTTGTAGCCTTAATATGAAATATGTTCAAAAGCGAAAATTTAAGTATTTTAGACTTTATATAAATTCCCCATCAAGAACCTAAAATCTTCTTGATAAAAAAACATGAATGATTTTATGCCTTTTAAAATAACTTTTACAAAATATTTTCATAGATGCTAACGGCTTTCCATAATTGTTAAGTCCAACTTAGAGATAAGTTCAACTAAGATCTTTGTGAAACACCCCCAAGAATGAGTAAATCCTCTATCCAAACATCCTCTGCAAGGTACATGTCCCTTTATTATGCTTCAAGCAATTACCAATGTACATGTTATGAGCAACTGACTAATTGTACTAATTGTGTCAAAGTTTGTTAAAGAAAATTCTTGATTTATTCAACAAATTAGGCTCCTGTACTGGTTATAAGCTATATCATATGGGTGAAATCTGATGAATTCTTTATCTAATAAGTGGTATGTAATCATGACCTATTTTTGACATATATGACACTAAAGAAAAAATTACAGATATATTAGTGTTCTTAAGACTATTCAATATATGGTTTTAAAATTATCATCTCCATCGTTGCACTGCCTTGCTCTGCATAACACAATCTCTTTCTTAACCAGGATTTTAATTATAATATGTACCGGTATGTAACACAAAATTTGTTTTTGCTTGCAAATTTAGACTTTTTTTGTGAAAACAAATTATATGGCACAATTACATGTGTATGAAATATTCATTGACATTTCAAATTGGGATTATATGGAAATATACCAATCAGAGGCTACCAATCAGGAAAAAAAATACATGGGGGCTCAGGAAAATTAGCCCCCGAAATGCCCCCGAAAGTCATAAAAGAGCCCCCCAAAATTGCATAGAGTTAAATGCAAAACAAAATAAAGAGTGTTATTTTCATGCAAGCAAGCTTGAAAAGTAGTCCCCGAAATTTAGAAAGTATTTTTTTCCCTGCTACCAATTCAATTCCATGAGCAATGAAGAAGAATATGAGGTAATCTTCAACAGATTCCTACTTGAAACTCCATAATTCCATAAATCTATACAATGATGCTATCATGGAATACGACTAGCAGAGAATTTAAAAGGAAACTGCAACAGCCCAGATTGAAAGGAAATTATGGCATGAATAAGTTGGTGCTCTGTCAAATGTCACCCGATTCGACTCATCTTCCCTTTCTTTTCTTGGCTTCTTGTCTGAGGAAGAAGGTTGATGGTACAAGAAATATGCCCCTTTCACATCAAAAATGCAGTTTCCAGAGGAACAGAATTTTGGGGGCTGACACAGCTTCAAACGACCCCTTTCATACATGGTCATAAGAATCCTTTCACATTAAAGGATTAATCACACAAGGGACAGGAACATATGTCAACCAAATATAATAAGACCATGCCCACTTTCATAGTGCAGAGATCAATCTAGCATGTGAACTGATCACGCCGGTTTAACGTACAGTAGGATTTTTTTTCAACTACAGAATATGAGAAATTAGCGATTATAATACAAATTTAACAGCTTTTAGGTTCATATAAGATAAACAATGTGAAAGGAGTACCTTGCAATCTTACTTTAATATGAATCTATAAAACAATAGCAATCCAGAAATGTCAGGAAGGGGTCCTTACACCCACTGAACAACACAAATGCTTTAAAAAGTATAAACAAAAAATAGAAAGTGCTATTATACCTATTAGCTAAGCACTACATGTATATAGTACTAAGATTGTCAGTGACTTAAAACGAGAGTCTGATATGAGAATAGAACATGTAAGGATTCGGAACGGATTAGCTCCGTTGAATAAAGCTTTGCGATAGACCTTTCGAGTCGCAATCCGAACATCCAAATCCCATGGACCAGACTGAGCAGAGCGGGGATAAGGGAGAGATAACGTCTCTCGACCCGACCCCGTCTAGCCAAGAAAAATTATGACAGCCTGTTCGCGGGGGTTAGAGTACAGTAGTCAGTGTGTAGGCATCCTACACTTGGCTTGATCCAGTGTAAAATGTCTGCATGCTAATAAATGCCTTACGCTGCCTGTCTAGCCAGAGAATGGGGCACCTTCACGGACGGGGGAAACAAAAATTGAGATTTACATGCACAACTGCAAAAGAGGGAAGAATACAATAGCGATCTATGTAAATCCGTTAATCGTCCGAGGTACGTGAATAAATATTAAATCTATTTTAAATCTTACCTTGTGATCTACCAGTATTTTGTAGCAGGATAACTGTGGATAAAATGAGAGAGAGAGAGAGGGAGAAAGAATGAAAAACACGTTAGTTATGTTTTTTGTCTCAACCAGATGTTAATGAGAGCTCTTGACTCATTTATCAAGGTTATATTTCATGTCCACATATATATTTACTGGTATCTATTCTAAATCTACATCTTCTGGCAAAACTGCACAGAAGTGAAAATTGAATAAAGTGCATTTTCAACCACTTTTGAGCTAGTCCTAGTTATCTCCTACTATTAAAGCAGGGAATAATTTTCCTCAAATTTTTTGATTAGCAATTTCAGGCGATGGATAAATATTTCAAATGAAATTCTGTACATTTCTATGGAAGAAAACTGCTACACAAAAGATATTTTGTATAGCAGTCATGCAAAAATGCATAGCAAATTGCGATGCGATACCAGGAAAATTATTCCCTGTAAAGATTCAAAATTTACATGTGTAAGCAATGTTTTTATTATCATTATTATTTACTATGGTACTTCATTCATTCCCTCACATGTTTGATGCAATTGGAGTCAAAACATATATAAATTTTACCAGGAGAAATAAAAACAAAAATAAAGAATGAAGATGCAAATATGTACTTAATAGATGTAACACACATGCTTCAGTGACGATGCTCTACATAACTTTTTCACACAAAGCATATTCAAAAATTCAACCATGGACCAAATATTATACACAACCCTGTCCCAAACCCAAAACCAATTGCAACTCTCATGCTAGCCCTATACATGTACATGTATCTGCAATGTAAGAAAGCCCACAGCAAATGTCGCAATAGCAAATGATGCCACAGGCTTTAATAGCTACTGTTAGGTCACCGCATAAAGATCAGAATGGCTGTTGACATCACATTATTAGACGATTCTTCAAGTGGCAAATGCCTTTCTGAGTGGTCCATGCTGACTTTCAGTTTCGACAGAATTCCATGATTCATTTGCCATTCTGTAGTACTGACAAGTCTACAGACGGGATGAATTACTGAATCATTTACAGCGTGCCATTACTATTAGCCACAATGTCTACCATATCTTGGGCAACCAGAAACCAGAAAGTTCAGGATTTTAAACAGGCTAAAAGTCAAATCAGTCCATGGTTCTATTACATCAAGGGCTGCTCATATCTGGAATTGTTTAAGGTGTCTTGACGATAATACCCAGGTTATCGGCTTATCGCTGCGTACACTGTAGGGTGCTATCACTACTGTCAGTACTGTGACATTTCAAACCTAGACAAGAGGATAAAAAAGCCAATTCCAGTCTGAAAGAACTTGCACTTGACAAATAACTGCAAACAGTTAAATGCAAGTGTCTTTGCTCTTTGTTCTCAATCTGAGCTGCAAGAAAGGCAAATATGGAGGAAGCAGATACCAGTATTATTACAAACTGACCCATTTGTGCTCTTTCATTGCAGCACAAATGCTTGTACTACATGTAGAATAGTAAACAAAAAACAAGAAAATTCTGAGAAAAGCAATAGCTATATTGAAGAGGATACCACCATGATGTTAGGATATGTTTTCTGTTTTTCTGCTCCTTCCATTACATGTCTGTCCATACAAATTAATCTGCACATGCATGCTGCCTGTAAACTTAGGTACAGTAATGAGTATGAATATTATCATTGTTCCTGTTGTGAAAATTAATTATGTCAGCATTTGGTTATACTACAGTACATGTTTGCGTACAAATTGCATTCCATTTAAACTCAGAAAACATTCTAACCAATTGGGCTTCACAGGCGAGCACATTAATGGAGAACTAACCCCAAAGAAACAACTTTTGTTGATCTGAGAGATTTATTGCATTCTTGCCCATCAATCTACAAGATTCCCCACCAAAGTGTATGAGAAAGGCATAAAGCAAGAATAAAGTACAGTTTCTCAGGAAGACATGGGCATCGCCATTTTCTTGATTGCATGACTTACTATGCGGAGTCGTTTATCAATTAAATGTATTCAAATTTATGGATGCTTCCTTCCCAGGTGTTTGTGGTGATGAAGCATTTCATTCACCTGCAATTTTTTTTTCTTTTTAATTCACCTGCTATTATTGTTTTTACTCCAATGGCCAGAACCTAAATTGCATAAATAAGTTGGTGCTGTTCAGGGGTGAAAGTTTCGCATACCGGTAATATGTTCTGTGCATACACAATGAATTTACAGAGACCTGTTCTAGGGAATTGATCGGGATTAATACAAGTTGACGCACTGACAGAAATACGAGCCTGGTGATGAAGATACCATCGCTGATAATGCTGTCACAATTGAGCATTGAATCATGCTTTGGGGTCTTGCACAATACATGATAAAGAGTTTCCAGTCTGTATGTATCCTCACAAGGAATAAAAAGAAGATCTGATTTTCAATATAGAGGAATATTTCTTATTGTGTGACCTCCTGGGTGCAGGTAGAGACTTGGTTGCAACAACTGCCAAACTTGAATGAAGAGGACAACTTTGTAAGTTCATCTCCTTTGGTGGAAGGTACATACCGGTACATGTAAAAAAGTGTTGATCTGAACAATTCTCTTATTTCTGAGAGCTGACTCCTGCTTTCACCTGGCCTTTCCCAAAATTATTTTCAACAAACCTTTTCAGCGGCGCCTGACGATACGGTCATTGACATGAGATTTAGCTGGTAATGGCTAGTCAGTCAACCTGGCCAACTCTCTTCTTTCTGCTCACAAACTCCTGCTTTTATCCAATGACCGGGGTAATAGTATATTTGTAAAGCGCTTAGAGACATTTGTAATAAGCGCTATATAAAAATTAAATATTACTATTATTACTATTATTTTGCTTTACCAAAGTTATTTCCAATGAACCTTAGGCACTGCATTGAGATAAATCACTGGTGTGAGCTGTGACTGGTATCAGGTAGTCAATCTGGCCAATTTAATTTCTTTCTGATAGCAGACTACTGTTTATCATCGTGTTAACTAGTATGCTGCTCAGCTTACCAAACCTAATTCTGATGAACCATTTCAGCGCTGCCTTGAGACAATTTCACTGGCGATGAATACGACTGGCTCTGAGGATCTTAATCTAACAAAACAAGTGCTCCAACTTGGCCTTACTAGAGAGAATAAGAGCATTTAAGCCATTGTGTAAATTTTCACTTCTATACACCTTCTTTTTGTTGTTGATCATTACATCTTACATACATGTATTGTTTCATTTTAGATGGTCAAATCTTTTGACATGGAATTTGTAGATGTACTGTACAGCATTCTGCCAGACAAGTTACAACGAACTGATCCTAACACATTTAATTTAAGCAAACTGATCTGTAATCAGAGGAGCTGATTTTTTTCTCCAATAAGAATAATAACAAGCTATTTAAAAAATTTCTTTTAAAGTGAAGTCCCTTCTCGCCAGTGTAATAAAAAAAAAGTGAAGATTTCAATACAGAACCAGAGTTGGTCTCATCACTAAAAATTTGTGATTTTTTTTTTTTTACCAGAGCTCTTTTTGACCTTGAAGGGCCATATCACGCTCACCACTTTCAGTAATTTTTCAAGCTTTTAAGTTAGACTAGAAAAAAATTGAAGCTGGACCAGGAACAAGACAGATTCAGATCTGCATTACTAGCATAATTTTTTTCACCTCTTTCCTGTCGCGTGTTGGACATTGGAGATCAGTATTTGTTACTAAGGTAGTTTATGGCGATAGAAGAAGAAGAAGAAAAAATTCAATCAACTCAGTTAAAAAAAACTATTTCCATCTTGTTCTACGTTATTAGGTTAGTTTTTTGCCCCTCCCCTAACGCAATTCATTTTGTGTTTATTCATTTTTATTTTTTTTTTTTTTTGGGGGGGGGGGGGGTTTGTTGCATTTTTAGGTAACACAAATATTAAATCTAACAACATTAAAATGCTGAAAAGAAGAGTCATCATGGGATATTAGCCATAGGAATAGACTTAATGAATAAATCGGCCTTCCAAATATAGGGATTGTTATCGTCAACCGATACCGATATGATTATGATCGTGATCGGGAGTTGTAAAAATGGAGTTGTCTGTGAGATTCTAATCGTAGTTTCGGAGGCCGTTGTCGCCCGATTAAAGGTGTTTTAATCTCCAATTCCTGTCTGATTACGCCAATGTAGGGGATTCACCAACTTAAGTACAAACAGGAATGACCAGAGATCAGACAGGAATTGGAGATTAAAACACCTTTAATCGGGCGACAACGACCTCCGAAACAACGATCAGAATCTCACAGGCAACTCCATTTTTACAACTCCCGATCACGATCATATCGGTATCGGTTGGCGATAACAATTCCTTGAGTAGGTCTATCTAGGGTCTATTCTATACGAGTATCGGTAATAAAAATCAGACAATCTAGTATTAATCTAGTTATCTATGCTAGATTTCGACAGACCTCACCTGTCTTTAATAAACGCCTAGCCCTAGATTCTAGGCTAGATCTAGATCTATTCTAGATCTAGCCTCTATTTTTACTTTTTTTTTAATGTTTGATTTTTTTTTTTAGCCTGCAACATGCAGGATAAGGCCGACTTGAGTCCTGGCCTGGACAACTCCACTGTCCACAGACACAATAGCGCACGTCATCAATGCTCTAGTCCAGGCTCGCGCTCCCCGGCCCAGGTGCGTGAAAAGTCGTCATTCATTCAGCTCAGTCTTCATTCTAATCCATGACAAAAAGAAAAACAGTAAACACTGTAACAGGGACAGGGATGACAAAACCTTCATTAGTTTAGAAACTTACCTATCAAACCTAGGCATACAAAAGACTCGGTTTGGCGGTCCATACTCATGTAACAAATGTATGCAGAAATCGCCGGGCTAGGCACCTTCCCCGGGTTAAAACGGCGAAACCTCCGCTCGTTACAACCTCTCATGTGGCTTCACCTAAGCGCCTGCCATGATTTCTGGACCGATGATACTACTGCATGCACACATTGCTGCATGCGCACACACTATACATGCACGGATAGCTAGCTATGTAGAAAGCTCGCTACAAGGGGTGCATTCTGCTATACCCACGTTTGTATGTGCATACATGCCATGTATATTTGCACCAGTCTGGCTAATAATATCTGCAAGGCCGAAGTCTAGCCAGGTTTTCCGAATGCAGCCGAAACGTCCCGATAGTCCACACCTCTCCCAGTTTCAGTCGAGAATTATGGCAAAATTGATCCCTTTTCCCGTTAATTCACAGTAGGAGCACCAAGCTGCGATACCACAGAACATGAAATTATCCAATTCGTACGACCAGATGGTATACTTCCTAAGTATTAGGCGATTTTTTCGATGCAAATGGGGCGAGTACCGAGTGTGGAAAATGAGTAGCCTCTCCAGACGGGTGGCTACCATAATGCAGACAGGTAAGGTATAAAAATGTCTGGCGATAAACCACAGAGAGGACTGCAGACGGTTAAAATCATTCCAAGAAAACACATTAAGTCCTTCTTTTATTGATGAAATATTAACTACACATATCTCATCATCGTTATTTCATATAAATTTTAATCATACAATACATCGTTTTTGATTGTACCACTATGTCCATAAGTTTGTCCCTCCGTTGAATTTCCCACCCCTGCACGCAATGGAGGCGTCTATCAATTCATTACGGACCATTTGACCTTGATGGGCGTCCAGTTGTTATGGATACTCATGCGGTGCATACAAATAGAGTGTAGTGTATATGCATTCTTGGTAGCACTAGAAGATAACAACTTGTGCGTTTGCAGGTGGCAGAGGATTCATTTCGACAGGAAAATTGTGATTTTTGCTAGTTTCGGGGACTAAAATGGCGGAGAAACCTTCTCAACCGACCGGCAAAGCCCTTGCTGGATTCAACTTTGTGGCCAATGACCAAGTTTGGTGAGTATTAGCTTGCATTTTTGTTGTAATTTTGTTGTATAATTTATAATGCCACGAGTAACATAAATGCAAAGCCTACAATATGATACCGGGTAGTGGTAGAACTATATACTTCATTTTGTGTGATACATACTCATGTTTTCTCTTGAAATAAAAAACATTATTCCATGTAGGGTCTATACCTATTACAGCATAATTTTGATATGTTTTATTCAATAACTTTTTAGTTTTGTGTACTGTAGATAGTGTAAAGCCATATTGAACAGTCATGGCATATTCTTGTTCTCTCTCTCTCTCTCTCTCTCTCTCTCTCCCTTTTGCAAGTCTGACAGTATCGGTCACAAATATCATGAAAATATTAATATCTTGGTGATTTTGAATAGTCTACCTAAGCCATATTTTTGATACTTTTTGTATTAAGTGGAGACAAATTTTCAGGACATGTACAACTACAACTAGGATTAAAACAAAATTGAAGTAGGGTCTAGGGGGTCTATTCATTAGCTATACATTTTTTTGTTAATTTATTAATCAGAGTTTGGCAATGGCCATGTTCTGACTCTAGTTACTTGTATATCTCTACAACTTCTTCATCATCATCATCATCGTCATCGACCTGTGGCTAGATTATTATTTTTCCTTCTCAATCTACCCATCTAAATCTTAATCCTAAACAAATTTTATCCAAGAAGCAGCATGCAACTGAGAGGTACCTTTGAGTGGATTTGTAAACATAACCAAAAGTATTTCTTATATGTGGAAACTTTTATGTATTTGTTTTTTAATCATCATAAATCATTGTATGTCTTATTTTAATCTGTTTCTAGGAAGGACCACATCAGATATGAAGAAACAGCATCAAAGAGGTGGCCAGAATACTGGGGCTTCCTTGGAGGCAGTTACAAAGATGTAAGTTTGACCTCTTACTCTGAGTGACATATATGATCTATGACCTCTGTACTCATAGGCTATTTTTGAAATATAATTTAATTAAATGCACAAATTTTTGTTAAGTGCCTCGTTATAAATTATTTCATTCACCTGTTTCAAAAGATTGTCTTTCAATAGTCAGAATGTAAATTGCATATATATTCCATACATCTTTGTTGTTAGGTAGGAAAGCCATAATGTTTGTCCCACTTAGCAACAATTAATGTATGCAATTTGCATTCTGACTATTGAAATACAATTATTTGTAACAGGTGTAGATTTAAAGCTGCTTAAAGGAAGAGCTAATAATTCACTTCTTAGATGGGTAATTTTATGTCAGCAAAAAGAAGTTTGGTTCATACTTTTGACTGACATGTGCATGTACATGTAGTTTAAAATTGTGATTATTATCGTGAACTGCATTTTCCCCACTAGATGTTTGATGTCTAAAAATTAATTAACACTTTAGTCGTAATAAACAGGTGGTCTTTAAATGCAGTTTGTTGCTCAGTCTTTTTAAAGTTATTAATGAAGGGTCATAGAAGGATAAAAAAATTGTTTATTTGTCAGTATGAATTACATAATATATTGTAAAATGCAGTATTACAAACAGCTATATATATCCTTCTTTACAAAAACTTTTGCAGTATATTTAATTATATTCTTATCATTGTTAATAGATATCATTAGTTATCCCCACTAACATAACTCTTTGTTATGTAAGTAGTTTTTGTATAATACTTATCGTAACTATAATACAGAATATATCAAAACAATGTGGAGTTACTTTCATCCTACACATTCAATTTCATTGTCATTATGAATTCTTTTTACATGTAGTTTGCTAAAGCTAAAGACAACCTTGTGAAGTTTGAGGTTGAAAAATATATCCTTTGTTACTATTTGATAATTCCTTTTAATTTGTCATCATTTTAGCTTGTGAAAGACGACTTTGTGAAGCGCGACGTGAAGAAGATAGAGCTTCCACCACCCCTGGTCCTGCCTCCGATCACACCCATCTCCAGGTATATCAAGGTTGACACCTCCCCCAAACCCTTCCCCAAGACCACGGCAGGCAAGATCGGTTGGAGATCATCAGAGACGCAGCACTCTCTTGAAATCTACGGCAAGTATGCCCGACCTAAGGGAGGCCTGATCCGACAGCTCAATTGGCCGCCTGAAGGTGTTATATAAAGGAGACATCGTGCATTGTGCGCTTGCCATTGTCTGCGACCGTCTTTATCTCGACCTTCAGAATGACTTTGTGCGTGACTTTAATCACCGCGGCGATGCCCCATACATGCTGTATCTTGTTTGACATTGCATGGTGGGATGACATTGTACAGGCTTCATAACAAACCATGAGGCATCAGGAAAAATAAACTATGCATCAAGGAGCTTAATATATGGGAGCTCACGTCCCTCATGTACCTGCATAAATACGAATGTTGTTATTCAGGTTTATGTTTTTGTTGTAGATGGTTAATTTATTACAATGTTGATGAGAGAGCAAGTCACTGTGTATAACAATCAATCAATCTTTTGCTACCGTGGGGTTATATTTCGTTTGTCTTTGAATCTCAATCATTTCTAATTCTCCCAAATTGACATGGCTGCCATGTGAGGGCAGTATAACAGGAAATGACCAAACCTTATCATGGACATGGGCACATGGCCTTATGAAAAACTTTTTATTTTCTGGACTTGTGTCTTATGTACAATTGTGTAGTTAATGCTTTAAACATGTTTTTTTATGTATTTTAGATAAAACATGAATAAATAAGTGAATTAATGTTTTGAATTATGTCATGAAATTATAACTTAAAACATAAATCATGGACAATCCCATACACGAGACACAGAGAATTAACGAGTCTCATCACTTTAACATCTTTAATGTGGGAGAAAGTAAAACTTGTGAGTTGTGACCTAGGTTTTTTATGGTTTTTTTAAATCTCAGAATGATTGTTTTACCAGGAAAATTGATTCTTTCATTCTCTCACAAGAAACCATATTGATCATGTGACTTTTCCTATCATTCTTCTTCTTCATCCACTTCTCCATCTTTATCAGGAAGTACTCACAAGATGATTATAGTTTTCAGTTGATGGAGATTTCACAGCTCTTAACCCCTGACAAAAGCTTCCCTGTCGTTTTATCTTAATACCTATCCAATCCTGAATCTGCTACCGATCGTCATTCATGGCAAATCCCCCATTCTCTTCTCAGATCACCAAGTTCATTGGCATAAGCTGGTGCTATGTGACTCATTATTCCAAACAAACTTTCTATTTTAGGTAATGTTTCATTGCAAACATGTATCTTCCTGAAGTTTGCCCTATTTTTCCCCTCCTTTTTGTGCATGAAATTAAAATCTACATGTACATCATTCAGTAACTAATCATGTCGTTTGTTTTACTGGATATGCACATAGAAGTTCTGGCATTCTTAAAAACGCTCTGAGTAATCTCAAACTCCAAATCTTTTTCATGATGAAAAAATATGTATGCAAACTTCAATTGTAATTTTAAAATATTTGTCTTAGAATTAACATATTAAACTGAAAAATTGTATGGTACTTACAGTAGTTATATATTGTGTTATGAATATTCATGTGCATGTATTCAAATATAGCTGTATGATATTTTCTCTACTTGTTATGCAATTCGCACCCGAACCGTCCAATAAAGAAGTTTTTATGACACTGAAATTGAGGATTTGATGTTCCACATACAGTGTTTACATATTGTTATGCAATATGCATGGAAATCTTGTTATAACAAAATGCTGCATAATTTGAAAATTTCCTCTTTGTTAGTGCTCATCACTTAATACAAATGCATTTTACAATGCCAAATACGCTTTGTTATAACAGGATTCACCTACTCATATTATGCCATTCCATTGTTCTCAGTTGTATGCGGGCTATGTGTGTGCTTGCAAGATATGATTATTTTCAAACAAAATATTAAGTCAATGTGATATTAATTAGTGAAATGAAATGGCTAATAGTGATAGGTAGTGAAATGTACTGGTAATTTAGTATAAGGTGTTTAGTATGCAATTAAAGGATTATTTCAGGGTTGATAATGTATTGATAAAGTATAGTAAATACATTCATCAATATTTTCATGAACTATGAAGAACTGTAATGCTGGGACTGAATTGCTCTTTATTAATCTTGATCATAAATGTTTTATTCATCGTTTCTAATAGCTGGGTTCTTTATCATTCTGGCTAATTGAATGGGTTTTTTAATACATGTTAGGCTATGTCTCATATTATCCTGGTCAGTAACAACATGCATCTGCTTAGGGCCAGGAAGACATTAAATTCTGTGTTAAAAGCATATGAGTTTATTTCCCTCTGGCTCAGAATAGTGGCAAAGCCCATGTGTAAGAATATTTACGTTGAACAAAAAATATTTGTTTTTTTAAGGATTATGTAAATCAAAGGTAAACAAATGAGGGAATGTATTTAGAACTTCATAGATCATCCCAGATATATCTGTCAGATGCACTCTTTAGATCTCATAAATTGCACAGAGACCACTTTATCTTTTTATTACAGGGATTTTAATCACAGAACTCACACTTCCTAAAATCATCAATCCCCAAAATATTGAGAAAGACGGAAAATAAACAAACCAAAAACATCTGTCGATTGGACCGCAGTATATCATCAATCACTGCATTATGATTATAGCCAAGAAAGGGGTGAAATTGTGTTGCTTTTTGCAGTGTTTGATTTTGTAATCTGTTTTAAATTGCAGATGTGTTACAATGCTGGCTCTTTGTGACAATAACATCGCGACCTCCCTGATGAAATCACCTAATTTTGGAAATTGAAGAAAAGATGAGTGTTTGAAGGTCATTTTATTTGACTACTACAAAACATTTGTTGGGTTTATTTTTAAAAAGTATACTTTTTACCAGGAGAATCTACTTTTATTTCCCATTTCACTTTTTATTTTTATTTTTTTGCTTTGTTTTATTTTTGTACTACTGAAGATCTTCATTCTTGGATGACTTATTTTGCTTTAAATGTCACTTTTTGTTGTGCAAAAAAAAGAAAATGTTTTGTGATATTTATCTCTTCAGCCGGTTTTGAAGAGAAGTGTTTTGCGAAGTTTATGAATGAATAAATCAGCGGCACCGTCCATTAAAAAATACACATTGTGACTGTCTGTCTTGTTATCATCAGTTGTACATTTACCCCCATTGATGAGTGCGATTTGTGAGTGAAAATTACTGATGAAAAAAGGGAGATCAGTGTAATGTTAGAGAGTAATTACGGTTTTTGACTGTTGCCGAACATGTGCTTGTGAAGTTGATTTATCTGGACATGCTTTCATTGGGAAGATATTTCTAAACACTTGTAAATCTCGCGCAAAACACAGTGTCAGTCCTGGGTAAGATTTCAATGAACTTTAAGCCGCCAAGCCGCGGCGCCAGCCAGGAGGTCACGTGACGAAAAAGTAAGCATCACGTGCGCCATTTTCGACTATGTTGCTAGCTGTACGCGAAGTGTTTACAAGTTAACTGATAGGGTAATGATTAATGCATTCAAAAGTTCTAGTTTATTGAAGGACAAACTCATATAACTAATAATTATGTCCTATGTTTCTAAGGTATAGTGGCGTGCTTTAGTGTATATCCAACAATCGCACCAAAACCCACTAAAACCACAGGCGGCTATAAAAATGTGCCGAAAACACGATCGCATCTATTTTGGGAATAAAAAAAATCAATTTCAGTAGCCTCGTGCGTCACCTCCTGAAATGTACTAACATGACAATGATGTATTACGTAATCCGAACATAATTTCTATGGGACATACAGCAGGCACTATGAATATGACTGACAAAGAAAGTGGACAACATACAGTTCCTCAGGTAGACAAAGGAACATCCCTTCACTGCTATTATGTACAAAGTGAAAATGCATGTGACACCTGTTCTACACATTTTTACATAATAGCAGTGAAGGGATGTTCCTTTGTCTACCTGAGGAACTGTATATTTTGTCCGCTTTCTTTGTCAGTCATATTCATAATAGGGTATCGATATTGCCCTTGAGTTGATTTTTCGGAAGTAGATGCGATCGTGCTCGAACTATGATCAGTAGTCGATAACTACATTACACAGAAATCATTTCCATCGTTTAACAATGTTAAATCTGAGATGCATGGCCCTACGTGTTATCAGTGTCTGTGATACGGTGTAACATAGAAGCCCTAAACAAAATGCGCTTGAAAATGATCATGAAGTGCTTCCAAAAAAAAATCTTTGTGTGACCGGTTTTACCATACTCATTTTCCCCAATAGACTGTAGTGTTATGAAAACCGTTAGGAAAACAAATTCTGAAATTTCGAATTCCAATCATAGATATCTTGATAATCAGACAGGCGATTGGCTTGTAAAAGTCATGGGTTTCATGTATGACCTAAGGTTTATAATTATGGTTGCAGCATGAGCTAAATCCAGGATTTTTTTTAGAATCTGAGGCAAAGTTACCCAATCCCTTTAATGTCCCTTAATATCAATGAGCATTTTTTTTTTTTGTGGGGGGGGGGGGGGAGGGGGTGAAATATATGTATTGTATCGTATTAGTTAGATATGTACCTGATGGCCCAGGCAGCTAGTAAAGGCAACTGAGATTTAATAAATCAATACATTGATGCCCGAGAGGCTTAATATTTTGAATTCATGATGGTAAGAAATTTGATGAAAGAGGATGAGACGATTCCAAATGTTCCTAAAGATAAGTATTAGAAAAAATACGAAATTTGACAAAAAATCCATAACCTAGCGCGTCGTCATGCATGTGCTTAGAATATAAAAAAGACATTATATTGACAGTCAGAGTATTCTACTGGTACAACTCGTATATATTCACCCAACGATCATTTTCACAACCATGAAAACTGTTCAAAATTACATGTAACATTCTGCTTTTGTCTCTATTTTCCCCCTTTTTTGCATTCTTCATTTCTTGTACATGGAAGGCTCCCTGTAGTGCGAGCTCGGACACCCGCGATGCCGAATATTGGCGTCAGGCTATGTTTATATGACGAAAAATATGTATAAATTTCACCCCGACGTTTATTGCTAACAATGCAGCCCTAGTTTGAAAGAGAATAAATAAATTAAAAATCCTAATTAAAGACTGACTCCATGACCGATATATGAACCTAATTTTGGAGACAATGTCCATCAATTCTACTTTCTGGATTTAATATGACTACCAGATAGAGTTCTCCCGGTGAATTCTCAATCCTCGTAATTCCATGAAAAGGTTATATGCAGCGTTGAGGCTAAAGCCCATTTCACACCGGATCTGCGTAGAGTTGCGATAGTGTAGCGTACCGAATGCGCCGAAATTAGGCTGCGTATTTATGAACAAAATGTTGCTTCGGTGTAGTCCCTGCGTAGGATATGCGTAGGCGGGCTAACGATGGCAGATGGCTTCCTATCTTGTGCATGGGCACCGTGTACCTACGGCGTATGTAATTAGCGTACCTACGCGTACGGTTGCGTATAACAGACGTAGGGTTGCGTACGTTTACGTAGGCCTGGTGTAAAAGAGTCCCCGTGGCTAGGCTGCGCGCAAGTAGGATCTTGGACGCCTTTACTGCTTCGTCGGACTGGCGTAGGGTAGCGTACTATTGCGTACTATTGCGTAGTAGCGTAGTGCCGTGTAGTGTTGCATAGACTTACTTACTTTTTGCGTCTATATGCCAAAAGTACGCGAAAACAATTAAACATGTTTAATTTGTTTGCATCCATCTCGCGTACCCCTTTGCGTCCCTCAGCGTATAGTTACGTAGGCCAGCGTAGGGCAGCGTACCCTCGGCGTAGTCGATACGCAACACTACGCAATTCTACGTGTGGCCCGGTGTGAAAGGGGCTTAAGATAATGAAATCTTTGTGATCTGAACATACATACAAATATGTGCCGACGAATTTGTCACAGTGTTCAAACACTTTATAAAGGTCACCTGACTAATGTTGTCATTTATATTGACTGGCTCATCTAGGAAGAAATATACGTGTTATACCCTTTCTAGTAAGGTCACCTGACTACAGTGAATACTTCCGTTTCCATTAGGTTATGGATAGGTTGAATGAATAATAGTAAGATGATAAGGTATAACAGTTTCAGAGGCAAATAAGCTTCTCTGGCGTTTGAGGCGGGGGGCGGGGGGGGGGGGGGGTGTCATAAAATCACAGACAATTAGAACGAAACAAGTCATCGCATTTTGTATTTCATTTTATTTTATTTTCTTTGGGGAGGGGGGGGGGGTCTTTTCATCACTTTCAGATTTTTCAAGTTGAAAAAACACTTTCCCTGTATTGCACAAAATGAGATAACAGTGATTTTTTTTCTTCTTCAGAATCTTATCTCTATTGGAAAAGAAAAAGGATCCCCCCCCCCCGATTTTTTAAATAGAAATCAATAAATAATACAGCTATAGCTTGAAACAAAAGATTCGGCGGAGACAACGGAACGACTGCAGTGATTATCTATTTTACTTGGTTCCTCGGCGCCAAGACAGAACAGGAAGTCAAATAAGTTCTCTTATTTTCCCCTCTCTTTCTTTCTTCTTCAGTGCGTTGCCCTTAAAAGGGCGGGCCCAGGACTGTCAGTCAAGAGAAAGAGGGGCAAATGTTTGCAAACATTTTATGGGCTAGCGGCCGCATCTTTTTATTAAAAGCGGGCGGCCGAGTCGGTATATTATATGAATCCCACTATGCCTTGACAAATCTGCATCCCACGCTCGTGAATTCGTTTCAGTTGCTATTTTATAGTAAATAAAAAAAAAAAAAAAACGAAAGAAAGAAAGAAAGAAACATAGAAAGGAGGACGAAGACTAATATTTCGCGTTGACATGATTGAGGCACCAAACAGGTTAGAGAATTGAACGCAATTGACCTCAAAAATATAGACGAGAAAAAAGAAGGACAAAAAAAGATGATAGCATTTCGTGTTTGCAAAATGTTCTTACTTTGTGATGTGGAAAAGTCTAGACTTTAATTCCCGGATTAGGGCTATGTCTAAAGGAGGTGTAAAAACAGCTACATGGTATGGGAGAATACCTAGACATTTTGATATCAATCGGTGTGAATGTGTAAAATCCTTTTCAACACATACAACAACAACAACAGTAACATTTTACTCAACCCTTAGAATGCCATGTCAAAATCATTCTTAAAATAATCTTCTGCCGATCACGCACTTATATGGCGTATCCCGAAATTGATGAACGGGTGAGGGGGTGGGGTAGGTGTATAGGCCCGTACCTCGATCATTCAGCAAGAGGTCTCGTGGTACAGTGAGTGGTTCATTCAATTGATTCTCAACATGCTCGATCATAGGGTTGAAGGTTCGACTCCCAGCCCGGTATACTATAGTATATAACGGTCCTTTGCAAGACATTAATCCACATTTGCCCGGCTCTCCACCTAGATGCAAATGGGTACCTGGCAATGATAATTGCAGATAAGGCCGAAAGGAGAAAAGCATTAGAAAGAACGGCATTGATGCTGATGAGGCTTCACCGGTAAAGAAAATGTTGATAATTATGTTATTACGAGGTCTTTTGAATTATAGAATTACAGAAAATAATAAAATATTTAACCCCTTTCACTACAATTTCAGAAACCAATTGCTATCCAAAGTAACATTTTTTCCTTTTAGCCGAGTTGTCTCGATTTCAGTGCTTGCAAACAACGGGGAGACGGGGTGCATGCCGGCTACGCCCCTAAATGCTGGATACGCCAGTGCCCTCCACCGATAATCCATCACCTCGTCTCCGTCTTAGTCCCCCTCCTAATCCTCTGAAATCATCTATTGTTTGCCACCTAGGTGTCATTCACTCATACATTGACTCTTAGATTCTATACCGAGTCCAACCTTCTACATTGTGAGGCGTAATACTAGGATAGATTGATAAAACACTTCGTCCCAGGTAATCGATTTCAGCTCTGGAGGTCCAAATCATTGTTTAATTTTAAATATTACCCTTCGTCGTGTGACTAATTTCACGACTGAATGTAGATTAACATTCTAACATTGTGGTAATTCCATAAAATAATGAGGGACCCACTTTGTTACATTTTCGGTGTCCCAGTTACATAAGGAACCCACACGTATTTGTGGCTCTGATTG